AAAAAAAAAAAAAAAATGCATTCTCTTAGGCAGTAAAACTACACAGGAAAGCAAGGAAACAATTGCCCTGGTCAGGGTAAGGACATCTCTAGGTGCTGGGGTTGTGCCAAAGAAAGGATGGCTTCTGTGTGCTGTTTCTTGTGTCCACGTTACAATCATTTATTAAATTGTATATAATACACATGTAGTATATACCTTAGATATATACTCTTTATGTATGTTCTTTTCTACAAGAAAAAAGTCTTGAAAAAAGAGTAGGATCAAGAATTTTTAAAAGTATAAGTACAGACTTTGAATTCAATCTACATAAGAAAATCTAAAGAAAACAAAAATAAGAAATAACATATAAGAGCACGTTTATATTAGAGAATATGGAAAGTGGATGAGAACTTATCATAATTCATATACTATGAGTTAGTAATTGTACTAGTAGGAATCCATCTTTAAATGCTAGTTACAGAAAGGGTTTATGTATTAAATGTTCTTCTCAGTATTCTTCACACTAGCAAAGAACTCAAGATAAGGTAGTGACTAATGTAATAAACCATGGTACTTGACAAAGCGCACACAGCACACACAGAGCCCTCCCAGGGCGTCCTCTTAGCAGTGACCTCAGGACACTGCTGAGTTGGTCTCTGTCTTTTTCACAAATTTCTAAGTCCTTGAGGGCATAGATAGTATCTTATTCATAAATCTCCCCTTAGAACCTGGCAAAGTACATACAATTCAATAAGTACTCACAAACCTTTTAATGCAAAAAAGTGAACACTTTTGCTCCTTAAAAAGAAGGAATCATCATTACTATATTTTTTCTCTTTTAAGAAAGTACTAGTAGGAAGTTTTCAAACAAAGGCGTGATCATACTTTATTGGTGCAGTGGCTCCTTCCGCTCCTCCTAGCTCAGAAAGGGGGACAAGATCCCATTTGAAGTGCAGCCCCCAGTTGAACCCTCCACGGACAACGGGGGATGAGCTGTAGGCGAGCGTGTCAGCGCTGATGATGTCAATTGCCGGGCACACCACGGTCTGCCGGTCCTCGTGGATGACGGCCAGCAAGGGTTGCAGCCACATCACATTCACTTCACAGTGGCTGTCCAGGAACACAAGGACTTCTCCTGAGGAGGCAGTAATGGAGGCTCAGGGGAGCTGCTTAACGTTCAATTTAGGTGTGGCCACAGTCCCATGGGATGATGCACTGACACAGCATGAAACAGAACTGCCACCCTTCTAGCCACAAACTATAAACCATTGCACTTTACTGCTGATTATGAACAGGGAAATCCTTTAGTCAAGAATTCTGCCTGAAGTGTACTGCTGTAACCAAGGAACATTATGCAAATGATAGGCACAAATCTTGAAAAAATTGAAAGGCAACTCATATGCTCTTCAGCAAAAAGATTCAGTCTTATAGTAACTATTTATCTTGTAGATGGCCAGAGACATGAGTGGCTCAAGTTTGGTACAGTGGCCACTAATATGTAGGTATTTTTATTAAATTATTTTAATAAAAATATTTACAAATTTAGTATGCACTTAGAATGCGTTCTCTGCCTTAGTAAACACAGTACAGAGAACACAGCTGCATTTTCACTGGTAACTCAGAAACATCACTAAACCTATCAATTATTTCCACAACACAGCAGTCTTCCCTGAAGCGAGACGGGTGAGTACAAGGCACTGTCAGCAACACCCAGGGACTGACTCTTGCTCAGCTTTCCTCCATTCCCTTTCCTTTCTATTTCTCTAACCATCTTAGCTTTGGTGGCTCTCATCTGCCAATGGAATACACCTTTCTTCTAATTAGCAAGATCTACAACACAGAAGTTTTATCCTGGCTAGGCATGGTGGCTCAGCCTGTAATCCCAGCACTTTGGGAGGCCGAGGCAAGAGGATTGCCTCAGCCCAGGGGTTCAAGACTAGCCTGGACAACTTAGTAAGACCTCTCTCTACAGTAAGTCACAAAAACCAGCCAGTCATGGTGGTGTGCGTCTGTAGTTCCAGCTACTTGGAAGGCTGAGGCAGAAGGATCACCTAAGCCCAGCAGGTTGAGGCTGCGGTAGCAGTGAGCGTGCCACTGCACTCCAGCCTGGGCGACAAGAGTGAGGCTCCGACTCAAAAAAAAAAAAAGTTTTATTCTGCATTTTAATTCCTCTTGATAAATGTAAGCAGGAATTATATTTTTAAAATAATTCTCAATTTCTTTGATAACTTTGTGGTTCTTCTGAGCAGTTGTTAGAATCTTATCATTAGACAGCATTATTGTTATTCTAAAGGCGTTTACATGAAATGTATCAATACAGACTTTACATGAATTACTTAAAGTACCAGATGTTATCTATCCAATTTCAACTAATGATAAAATCAGTATCACAGACAAAAACATTTTAAATGAGGCCAGGGAATTAGTCCCGTGGTTTGATGTCTGTAAATGACCTTCATGGGGATGGAGAGCCCCATGCAGCTCTGTGCTGTCATTCGGTGTAGAAAGGCAAATCATTCAGCATGTTCATCAATCCATGTGAAGGGAGATTTAATCAAGGCTTGAGGAGAAAATGTATTCACAGCTTTCCTTAATTCTAAAAGTGTTACTTTTTCCAATTAATGCCAATTTAACTAAATGAATATCCATCTGGTCACACTGAACAATGACTTCTTCCAAATTGGTTTGCTTCTGACATATCCTAAACTACAAGTATGTGTGAACAAGGAACAGAACAGATTGTAATGAAAAAAAAAAAACAAATAACTACTGTTCCTTGAAAAAAGTAAATTCACAGTAAATATGCACTGTGCACAGTAAATATGCACAATGTTTTGAATGGATTAATAATGAAAATACCCCCAACTTTCTCTTTTTCTCCTTGCCTTCAATAACCACACAGTCAATTAAATTAACTCTTAACTTGACTAGAAAGCTAGAAAAGAAAATATCACAAGCCTTGAATTCATCTTGCAATAGAGATGTACAGAGGAGAACTCAAAAAACCCCCAAATTTATTTATAAAAAATTGTGTATTTATTCTAACATGTTTAAACTTCAGTCACCTTCAAAGTAACCTTCCATTTGATGCAGTGCACCTATCAAGATGCTTTCTCCACTGCTCAAAACAGTTTTGAACTTGGCAATTGTGATGCCTTTTTGTGCTTCTGGCGTTTTTTGTTTCACCTTTTCCACATCAGCAAAATGTTTCCCTTTGAGGACTTTTTTCATTCGGGGAAACAAAAATAAAAGTCACTCAGGGTGAGATCGGGTGAATAGGGAGGTTGGGGCACAGGTGTCATGCTGTTTTTGGTCAAAAGCTGCTGAACTATCAGCGCAGTGTGGGCAGGTGCACTTGTAAATCACCTGAAATGGGCAAACGCTTTGAAAGACTCCCCAAAAAAAACTCACCGAAGCCCAATGCAACCTCTCACAACAATGCTAGCTAGTACACTGATGTCAGTGGGTTCCTGGAACAATTACCTGGCGACGGAAGTTTATACTACAAGGGACCCACCCCTCAAAAGATAATTTCAGGTTTTTTTGGGTCCCCTTCATAGAGGAACTACTTCTCATTTTTTTGTTAACTGCTTTAGACTGTGGGTTGAAGAGAAAAAGAATTCTAAAAGTGAAGTCCCAACAAAACCCAGCAAATGAGCCATTATCTGATAGGTCTGGTGGGTGGTGAGCAGTGCCAACCACAGCCCTGGTGTGGCAGAAACACAGGGTACAGGGATGTAGTGGATGCTGTCACTGTTCAGTGTTCCCTGCCAACAAGTTCAGCAATTCTCAAATGAGCTTCATGATTTTTTTTTTTGCCATATCCATTCATTACCTGCAATAGTATATGCCTAATAGTTTTAAACACATTCATTTGTTTTAACTTAATTAAATTTATTTAAAAGTTTTCAAAATCAAGACCATAAATTAAAATCAGGAAGACCAACCTTACACAGAGGTGACCATAAAAAGAAATACTTGAAGACTAACCAGTTATATTTTCTGCAGAAGACTCTGAGTCTGATAACCTTTTTTTCTAAAAAGGGAGATTAGTGTATGATGGAAAGTTTTTAAAGATATATTAGTAATGAGGAGACTTCCTCCTTTATAGAATCAGAACTAAAAGGGAATTTTAAAGAAAATACCTTTTACAGATATGTAAGTCAATCTTATAACCACTTACCAATTAAAATCATGACATATATCTTAAGAGGTACGTACCACATACTAGGAATTATTACCATAATTCAAGTCATACAATTTGGGTACGTATATTCTAAATTTTGAATTTAAAAAATTACAAAAGTTCAGTTACATTTTAGTTTGGACATTTCTACTTACATAAGTGAACAAGATATAAAATGTATTTGAAGAGTCGCTATGAAAATACACCAGTGAGGATTCTAGAGTTTAACCCCATGCACTATGTGGTCTGCAGCAACAGGCTTAGAGTTAGGAAAAAGGTTTTCCCTAACAGAACAAGCCTCATCTCTCCTGCTGGCAACGGCCCATTTGAAACATCATTTTTTTACAGACTCTGCAGGATTAGGAAAGGTGATAAGCACCAAACCCTTGTCATCCAACCCCACAGAGAAAAGTCGACAGGGAAGTATACCTGTCGCGTGGGCTGCTCCAATCATTCTTCCTCGAATCAATCCCTCTCGCTTTGTATTTCTTATTACTTTAACTTTTCCAGGGAGGTATTTTTGAACATACTCATCTAGTTCTCCTTTCAAATCATCTGAAAACAAGGAGTTCCACAATTATTCAAACTATATGAGGCATACACAAAGACATTTTATAACTATTCTAAAGCTGCAACTGGAACTTGCTAAAGTCCACAACAAATCAAATACTACTACAGAATCTACTGCTTTGTTTTAAAGGAATATCTTAGTTTGTCCTGTAGGAAGAAAAAGAGAAGAAATAAAAAGTAAGAGCTAGAATTCTAGCCAAGAGGAATACTTACCTTAGTTATACATTTGTTTGTATTTCCATAGTATCTAGTACAACACTTTGCAAAAAGAATGCTTGAAATGAATATTTTGAGTGAGTGAATGTTTGGCTAACTGCATATAAAGCACATTTAAAACAAAGAAAATGAGATACAAATGCCTTTTGTTACAAAACAATTTATTAAGTCTCACTCCATTTCAGAATAGTTAAGAGAGAACTCCTATTGTCCCTACCACGAATATACAGTAACAGCATTAAACATGTCCTTTGTTTTACTTAGCACCTTTCCTCCAAGGGCACAAAATAATTTTTTAGGAATTCTAGGTTATTCAACTTTAAATTTCATAATACCTTCAAAGATCATATAAGATAATAAGCATTAATTCTTTCCATAGCCAGTATACAAGCCACAGTAAATTATCATGAATTTTTTCTTTTAGATAAAATAGTGACAAAATGAAAACCAAAATACAGGTTGATTTAAAAAAAAAAGAAAATCAACCATAAATTCTTGAATTTGGTATTTAACCAATCTTCTACTTGGTCCAGATTTACTTGTTTATTTGTTTGGTTTTTGGGTTTGTTGGCTTTTTTGTTTTTATTTTTGTTTTGGTTATCACTCACTTTTGAAAATAAATTTTGTTTTCTATTAACCTTTCCAAATTTTCTCCCATGAAATGTCAATATTGGCCGGGCTTGGTGGCTCAGCCTGTAATCTCAGCACTTTGGGAGGTCGAGGCAAGTGGACTGCCTGAGCCTGCGGATTCGAGACCAGCCTGGGCAACTTGGCAAGACCTTGTCTCTACAATAAATAAAAAAAAATAATAACCAGGCATGGTAGCATGAGCCTGTAGTTCCGGCTATTTGGAAGACTGAGGTGAAAGAATTACCAGAGCCTAGCAGGTTGACGCTGGGGTGGCTATGAGTGTGCCACTACACTCCAGCCTGGGTGACAGGGTGAGATTCCAAGTCAAAAAAAAAAAACTCGATATTTATCAAGTTTTTAGAAATTCGCTCTCATCAGTCTCAGTGCACAGCCTCACTCTGCATATGCAAATATACTAGTATACCAATTCTAGTGCTGCTGTAAAAGGTGCTGAATAAATGCTTCAGCATGTTAAAAAAATGTCACTGGCACACACCTTTAAAACCATATTTCTTCAGGTTGTTGTAATGAAAAGATCAGAAGGTTTGGAGCCATGCAGAAGAGTGGTCTAATTTCAACTCTACTACCTAACAGCTAGGGGTCCTGGGCAAATTAATTTTTATATTTTTTCCTTTGTAAAATGGAAAGAGCCCTTTCTTGCCAGGTCACGGAGAGCTGAATAAACAATATAAGTAAAAAGCCTTCCATCTTGCTTGTCCACATGAAGACATTCTTAGCAAGAGCCTATGCTGAATAAAAGAAAGGTATATGAGGCCAAGCTCAATGGTTCAAGCCTGTAATCCCAGCACTTTGGGAGGCCGAGATGAGAGGATTGCCTGAGCCCAAGAGTTCAAGACCAGTGTGGGCAACTTGGAGAGACGCTGTCTCTATAATAAATCAAAAAATTAGCCAGGCATGGTAAAGCATGCCTGTAGTTCCAGCTACTTGGAAGGCTGAGGTGGAAGGACTGCCTGAGTCCAGCAGGTCAAGGCTGTGGTGGCCATGAGCATGCCATTGCCTTGTAGTCTAGGTGACAAAGTGAGACGTCAACTCAAAAAAAAAGAAAGAAAGGTGTAATGGAATACGTAGCCAATCATGAAATACTGGCAATCAGAGATCAGCTAAGAGCTATCAGATTCATTCTACTTCTATCTGGGGACAATCAGCATAAGAGACTTATTAGATAAATGTAAGCCAAGGCATAATGCCAAGTGAAGAAAGCCATCGTAATAGAATACATGCTGTATATTTCCATTTATATAACACTCTTAAAATGACTAAATCACAGAGATGGAAACAAAATCATAGAGATTAGTTGCCAGGGATGAGGGATGGTGGAGGCAAGGAAGGAACAGTGACTATAGCAGGGTAGTACAAGGTAGATCTCTAGGTGAGGAAAGATTTCTGCAACTTGACTGCAGCGTCAGTTATAGGAGTCTACTAGTGTGACAGAATGACACAGGACTAGATACACATTGCCCTACTGTGGATTCCTGGTTTCAATACTGTACTCTAATTATGCAAGACATAACCAACAGGAGAAACTGGGAAACAGGTACACAGAATCCCTTTGTAACTTCCCATGAATTCATAGTTATTTCTAAAAGATAGGGTCTCACTTTGTAGCCAAGGTTGAAGTACAGTGGCACTATTATAGTTATATATAATTATAGCCTTGAACACCTGGGTCCAAGCAATCCTCCTGCTTTGGCCTCCCATGTAGTTGGGACCACAGGTGTGTGTTGCCATGACCATCTAATTATTTTATTTTTTGTAATGGCAAGGTCTTGCTACATTGCCCAGAGTGGTCTCAAACTCCTGGCCTCAAGTGATCCTCCTGCCTCAGCCTCCTAAAGTGCTGAGATTAAAGGCATGAGCCACTGTGCCTGACCAGCTAATTCAAAATAAGAGTTTTGTTTGTTTTGATTTTTAAAGTAAGTCAAGGGAAAAATTTATAGGGTCAAATTTGGGAAGCAGAGTTTGTAAGCAGGTAAAAAAGACAATGTATGTCTTCAAAATTATCCTATCATCAATGGACAGGTACCTATTTGTAGTCAGCTCAGTTGTAAGTGCATGTGCAGGAGCCATATCTACAATGTATTTGAATGGTCTGCTGTGCTGATGTTTATCAATGCTACAATGAATAGCCCAGATCCAACGTTAATCCAACGTTAATGATTGCAGTATTACTCACCGAAGTCACTATCGTCATCCACGAGGATGATTTCATGAAGAAGGTGCACTGGTGTGCGGTCTATGACACTGTGCACTGTCCGGAGCAAGGCAGAAAAAGCTTCATTGTAGAAACAGACAACAACACTAGCAACTGGCAGATCAATCGGGTAGGACTTTTCTTTACATCTGTCAAGGCAAAGATAAGGAAATTTTGGCATTTTAAAAGGCTCAACTGTTTTAGGTTATCATTCACTATATTATTCACTGTCCCCTTATTCAACCTTTCTTACGTTATGATAAACTGTTTTTTTTTTTTTTAAGCATTTAAGAAAGTAACAGTTTTTCTTCAAGAATTTTACATTTTGTTAATAATTTCTCCCTCCTATACCTGCTATCGTGCCAATTTTTAGGTCAAATTTTTTAAAACTGCAGGGTTTTTTTTACTTTTCTGGTGGAGAGTTTACATAAAAATGTGTTATTTTTACAGAAATCACTGCCTGTGTTGAGTGCAGTACTCATAAGCTGATGTCCAGCTTCTCCTCAGTGAGGTTTCAAAAGAAAATATAAAACTTGGCATTTGAAAATTTTATTTTTTGCCCAATAACAGAAAAAGATTTGAATAAAATACAGTATATCAAGATAAGAGCAGAGCATCCACATAAGCAGCTATTTGATTAAAGGGGTAAGGTAGCTTTAAGTAACAACAACAAAAAGCCATGAACTAAAAGAATAAAACTCAGAGTCCTAAATTCTTTCCTATGGCACAAAGCACCTGTCTACCTTCAGCCTCTCACTACTCTACCAAGTTTGGCCAAACTGAACTATAGCTTCGGTCCCTGCAATGAGCCATACAGTTGTCCCCCTCAGTGCTTTCCACATGCTGTTCCCTGTACACGGAAAAGTCTTTCCTTGCATCACTGTTCAGTCCTCACTTCTCTACAAGGGCATTTCTGACCACTCCGGGTTTTGGGCCCCATTTCACCAAATCCTACCGCAGCCTTCATTCGTGTGCTACTGCCATGACTTGTTGGCTTACCTGCCACCCCTGCTAGACCCTGAGCCCTGAGAACCCAGGAACTTAATGTGTTTCCTTCCAGGGCTGGATACGGTGCATAATTAACAGAAAGTGCTCAACAAATGTCTGTCTGTGGAAGACTGACTGATGACACAAATGAAGCCTTTGAAAGAACAAAAATAATGAAACAGAAAAGTGCGATTATGAGTAAAATTCTTCACTGATTTTAATTCCTTTTGCCATGAATCCAATAAACATTTAAAACAAAGCTGGTTGGGCACAGTGGTTCAGACCTGTAATCCCAGCACTTTGGGAGGCTGAGGCTAGAGGACTGCCTAAGCCCAAGAGTTTGAAACCAGCCTGGGCAACTTGTGAGACTTGTCGCTACAATAAATTAAACAAACAAAAAAACAAAACTAACCAGGCGTTGTGGCGTGCGCCTGCAGTTCCAGCTACTGGGGAGGCTGAGGTAGGAGAACTGCCTGCGCCACCAGATGGAGGCTGTGATGGCCGTGACCTTGCCACTGTACTCTAGCCTGGGCAACAGAGTAAGTCTCTGGCCAAAAAAAAAAAAAAAGGAAGAGAAGAAAGGAAGGGAGGAAAGGGAGGGAGAGAGGCAGACAGACAAACTTACACTCGGGTTATTTCCCCCTCCTTTTTCCATGTAATTTGAAGTGTCAAAATAGACACAGCAAGCTCTAGAACTGTTAGTACAATCTAAGACCATGTGGCTTCAGATATAATACAAGTGGAAATCTGTTCAAGTTTGCTAGTATGCTGGCAACGACACCTAACTGCAAAATATAAACACCATCCTCATGGCTTCTTATAGTGACACTAAAATTTTGCACTATTATTCAAATGTATTAGCAAAAACCAATAAGGAACATACGCCGCATTCCTTGTGTCTGGCACATCTCTGTGGTAGCCCAAGCGGTTACTGATAAGCATATTAAAGGCATGTTTCTGATAGCCCAAGTCTCTCAATTCCTGATCACGTTCATTAAAAATCATACCTGCAGAAAAGTGAAGTTACGGTCAGTGCATTAAATCTAGAAAGGATTACCAGTTACTATTATGATGTTTGGATATTAAGAAAATGTTGGCTTTATCCCACTATAACCAGATAAAACCAGATTTCTCAAATCTAGGTTGTTTCCAGTTTCAAAAAGCAAGTTTGAGGAAAATTGTTCAGTCTAACTCAAGACAAGTGTGTCTTAACCATAAACAACACCTGCTTACAAGCAATAATCTTAAGAAAATTTTATTATATTCAAGAGAAAAATTTACTTGAAAACAAGAAAAAATTTTAAAAATAATTTTCCATAAAAGATGCTGGGCATGGTGGCTCACACCTATAATCCCAGCACTTTGGGAGGCTGAGGCAAAAGGACTGCCTGAACTCAAAGGTTAGAGACCAGTCTGGGCAACTTGGTAAGATCTCATTCTACAATAAATTCTACAATAAAAAAATTAACCAGGTGTGGTACTGCATACCTGTAGTTCCAGCTACTTGGAGGGCTGAGGCAGAAGGATGACCTGTGCCCGGCAGATCAAGACTGAGGTAGCCGTGATGGTGCCACTGCCCTCCAGCCTGGGTAACAGAGTGAAACTCTGACTCAAAATAATAATAATAATAAATTTCCATAAAAGAAATAAATTACAGAACCCCAATGGGCCTCAACAGATCCCAACTGTAGGCAAGTTTTTACATACAACCCTCTCCCCAAAAAAGGTTACTAATAATTCTTTCTATAAAAAGAGTTTCTACAGTCTCTGGTTTCAGACTATAATTACCTTCAAGGTTAAGAAATTCCTCCACAGATCTAATCAAAACCACTGTAATTTAACATTTTTGTCTTAATCCTCTGTCAGAAATCTTATCTTTACAGAAAACAGTAACGTCTCCTTTTGCTTTCTCTTTTCCATATCAAACCTTTAGCTTTTCCTCACAGACCTGTAACAGCATTTCCCAAAGTTGTTCCTACAAAACTAATTCCACCAGACAGTAATATACATTTAAAAAAAAGTTGTAATCACATAAATTAGGGAAATACTGAATTTTAAAAGTCAAATAGTTTTTCTTTTGTTAATGGCAGGACAACCCTGTTCCTTTAATATGATGAACATTTTATGGATATCCACATGTGAGGAGATGGGATATAAAATATAGTGTTTCCCCAACTTATCTGACCACAAAACACCTGACTAACGTTCCCAGATGCATTTTAGAAAATAATACCACTCAATATGCCTTTGCTCTAGAACTTTTAAAGCTGCAGTAAATCCTTTTTCACACAAAGAACAAAGTTCTACTAGCATTTTACACAAACAGGAAAATGCCATGAGAGAAATCACTTTGCTTATGCCCAAAACATAAAATAAAATTAAAATTGCTTGAAACCCAGCATCCAGAACTGTGCCTTGCACAAGAAGATTCTCAATACTCCTTGATTCAACAAGTATCAAACAGAAAATAATCTCATGCTGAATACTCAAAGAATAATTTTCTTTTTTTTTTTTTTTGAGTTGGAGTCTCACTCTTTGTCGCCCAGGCTGGAGTGCAGTGGCATGCTCATGGTCACCACAGCCTCGAACTGCTGGGCTCAGGCGAACCTTCCGCCTCAAGCCTTCCAAATAGCTGGAACTACAGATGCACACTATCACGCCCAGCTAGTTTTTGTGATTTATTGTAGAGACGAGGTCTCACCAAGTTGCCCAGGTTGGTCTCAAATCTCTGGGCTCAGGCAATCCTCTTGCCCTGACCTCCCAAAGTGCTGGGATTATAGGCTGAGCCACCGTGCCCAGCTATCATTTTCTAATATAGATCTCTTAATGAAAAATTAGTCCATATGTAAGATCACTTTAGATTACTTTTCTCCTTTCCCAGCTCAAAAAAAATTGTAAGCCAAACTTCAATTCATTAGCATGCAGAGGAGTTATTTCAATCAATTTTGTAATTAACTTCAGATTAAATGAGAAAGTTTTTAATTTTAAATTTACCGTTGATAATCTTTCTAAAATGTACCTTTTCTCTGCTTCTTTATGATAATCTCTGTTCAGAAATCAGCATTCTCTTAAGCCTTTTTACTCAGATATCCTCTCTGAGCGGGCATGGTAAATCTAGCAAACTACTCAGATGTCCCATCTCAGGGGACATAAAGAGACAGACTGATGCCGGCACAAATTGTTCAAAAATGTATGTTTCCTTGAAATTTTCCATTCAAATTGCAGGAAAAGCAAATAAAGAGAATATATGCTGAGATATATGTAAAAAATACCAGCAAAAAGTACCAGCTGGTGTTCTGTAGAAATAGATTGTATGAAGTGCTTTCACAGTGGTGCCTGACACTTCTTTGTAACAGAGAAGGTAGTGATAAAAAGTGTTTGTATAAGAAAGACAGCTGCCAGGCCGCAGTGGCTCACTCCTGTAATCCCAGCACTTTGGGAAGTGGAGGCAAGAGGACTGCCTGGTTCCAGACCAGCCTGGGCAACTGGGCTTCTCTATAATAAATCAAAAAATTAGCCAGGTGTGGCAGTGTGCACCTGTAGTTCCTGCTACCTGGAAGGCTGAGGCGGAAGGATCACCTGAGCCCAGCAGGTGGAGAGTGAGACTCAAACTCAAACTCAAAAAAAAACAAAAGAAAGGCAGCTGTGGGTATACCCTTTGGATCATATGAAAAGACAGATAAGCAAGTTACTGTAGCCTTAAAAGAAAGAGACTTTCAAAGTTGAAGATATCATTGCCACATGTTAGAAAAACACAAGATAAGGTTGAGGTGGAAGGATCTCCGGAGCCCAGCAGGTCAACGCTGGGGTGGCCATGAGTGTGCCACTGCACTCCAGCCTGGGCAACAGAGTGAGACTTCAACTAAAAAAAAAAGAAAAATACAAGATATAAAATTTTGATTTTTTTTGTCATAAGTTCCTTCCTTAATGTCCAAAAATCCATTATAAACTGAATATCGTTATAATAAAATGATTGGTTCTGATGCTATACTATTTAATATGTAACAAATTCATTTTTCACTATAAATTTTGTAAAAAAAAAAAAAATGAGGTCAAACATTAACTATACTGATATAAATTAAGTTTCTTTTATATAAGGAATCTTGGAGCTTTTTTTCCCATTTTTTTGACTGCGATAATTATGTACATAACATAAAATGTACCATCAGTGACACTTAGTACATTCATAATATTTACCTGCAACCAAGAACAAAAATTTAAAATTATTTTCCATAAGGCCAGGTGCAGTGGCTCATGCCTGTAATCCTAGCACTTTGGGAGGCCAACGTAGGAGGATTGCTTGAGCCCAGGAGTTCAAGATCAGCCTGAACAACGTAGCAAGACCTCATCTCTACAAAAATAATTTTAAAAATGAGCCAGGTGTGGTGGCATACACCTGTAGTTCCAGCTACATGGAAGGCTGAGGCAGAAGGATTGCCTGAGCCCAGAAGGTTGAAGCTGCAGAGCCATGATCATGACACTGCCTTCCAACCTGGGTGACAGAGTGATAATAATAATTTTCCATAAAAACAATATACAATCATCATGAGTTATCTGGTTGCAGAATATTTTCACCATTCCAAAAAGAAGCTGTGTACCCATTAAAATAGACACTCCTCACTTCTCTCTCTGTGGATCTGTCTGTTCAAGAAATTTCACATAAATGGAATCCTACAACATGTGACTTTTTGTGCCTGGCTGCTTCCACTTCGCATAATGTTTCCAAGGTTCACCCATGTTGCAGTATGTATCATAATCTCATCCCTTTTTATAAATAAGTAGTATTCCATTGTATGGATAGACCAACTTGGATTGTTTCTACTATCTGTCAATTGAGAGCACTGCTATGAACATTTGTGTACAAGTTTTCGTTTGAACACCTGTTTTTCTTTCAAGTATAAACCCAGGAGTGGTATTGCAGGGTCACAGGTAATTCTGTTTAACTTATTGTGGAATTACCAAACATTCCACAGCAGCTGTGCCATTTTATATTCCAAATCAGCAAGGCAGTATTTACATCTTGACACTACTTAGTATTCCATTCTATGAAGCTCAAGTTTCTTTCTATTTTATTTAGGTTTACTTTGATTTGTTTAACAGTGTCTTGCAGTTTTCAGTGTACAAGGCTCGCGCCTCCTTGGCTAAATTTACTCCTAAGTTATTTTATTCTTTTTGACGTTATTGCAAATGGAATTGTTCCCTTAGCCTCTTTTTCAGACCATTCATTGCTAATGTATGGAAACACAACTGGTTTCTGTGTGTTGATCTAAGTATCCTGCAACTGCCAAATTCCTTGAACTTTAATCATTTTTTGTGGATTCCTTAGAATTTTCTTTTTTTAATATATTTTGTTTTAAAGATGTAAGATACAATTCAGAATTAGGTATACAAGTGGACATCATACAGGTGAAGTTTGGGCTTCCCTTTGGTCCCCACTTTGCCTGGTTTGAGATCTGGTACCCTTATTGATTTGTGTCCTTATCTCCACCCCGGCAGTATCCCGCTACTGCCAATCCCTTTAGAATTTTCCATAAGAAAAAAAAAAAAAAGCATTTTCTATAAGGAATTTAGTTTTTCAGTTAAGTAATTTGAGTTTGTTACTTCAAATACCTACAATTCCCTCACTACTTCTTCCAAAGGCAAATACAAAGACTATTCAAAACGGTAAGTCCTGGCCAGGCATGGTGGCTCCTGTCTATAATCCCAGTACTTTGGAGGCTGAGGCATGAGGATTGCTGGAGCCTAGGAGTTCGAGACCAGTGTAAGCAATATAGCAAGACCTTGTCTATACAAAAAAAAATTAAAAATTTAGCTGGGTGTGATGGCATACACCTGTAGTCCCAGCTACTTGGGAGGCTGAGGCAGAAGGTTTGCCTGAGCCTAGGAAGTCAAGGCTGCAGTGAGTCGGGATCGTGCCACTGCACTCCAGCCTGGATGACAGATTGAGACTCCAACTCAGAAAAAAAAAAGGTAAACCCAATATTACTTCTTTATAAAAGCTTTATCAATATAACTATGAATAAATAAAGGAGCTAGAAAATTTCTGAGTGTTTCAAAATGTCTACTGGCGATATGAAAAAGATGAGGAGGTATATTTCTTATGAAAATTGAAGTAGATATTAGCTTCTGTTTCCTCATATAATTTTAAATATGTTTGGCTTCCTTTATTAGGAAATCATTAAGTCCTAAGAACTGACTTTATTTCTTTGAAACTATGCCCTAGTGAAAAATGTATTTTAACATTTCCTTTATATTCTGAGTCTCTCTTAATCTCTGAAAAATCTCTTACTATTTGCTTTTAACTCCTAAATTACTTATTATTTGATGTTTTTCCAACAAAATCAAAGTTCTCTTTTTTAAGTTTTGAAGACAACAAAAATGGCTCACTGGTCCCGTAAAATACAATTTGCCAAAATCAGGACTCCAGTATATTTAAAGGTATATACAAGGCTAGACACGGTGGCATATAACTGTAATTTCACCACTTTGGGAGGCTAAGGTGAGAGGACAGCTTGAGCTGAGGAGCTTGAGACCAGCCTAAGCAACATAGCAAGACCTTGTCTTTACAAAAAAAATTTTTTTTTTAATTAGCTGGCTGTGGTGGTGCATGCCTTTAGTCCCAGTTACTTGGGAGGCTGAGGTGGAAAGATTGTCTGCGTCCAAGAAATCAAGGCTGCAGTATTTATGCCACTGCACTCCAGCCTATATGACAGAGTGAGACCCTGACATAAATAAATAAATACACACACCCCTAGATTTTTGCTTCTAAGTTTCAATTGAAGAGAATATACTTTTGGGGAAAAAAGCCTTTTATTTTATACTAAGATTTCATGAAATATACTTCTTTTCATAAACTAAAATTTATATATTCAAGAACCTTAAAAATTCTTGTAGCCAGGCACAGTGGGTCACACTTGTAATCCCAGCACTTCGGGAAGCAGAGACAAGAGATTGCCTGAACTCAAGGGTTCAAGATCAGCCTGAGCAAAAGAACGAGACCTCGTCTCTACAATAAATCAAAATATTAGCCAGTGTGATGGCGCACACCTGTGGTTCCAGCTACTCAGAAGGCTGATGCAGAAGGATTATCTGCCCAGCCGGTCGAGGCTGCAGTGGCTATGAGTGTGCCACTGCACCCCAGCGTGGGCAACAGAGTGAGACTCTGACTCAAAAAAAAAAAAATTTCTTGTAAATGGAAATTTTATCACATATACGTAATCCCAGCTTATCGTTAAACCTAATGCTTTGTATTCTGGGTTTTGTTTGTTTGTTTGTTTTTTGAGTTGAAGTCTCATTCTGTCGCTCAGGCTGGAGTGCAGTGGCATGCTCACGGCCACCACAGCCACATCCTGCTGGGCTCAAACAATCCTTCTGCCCTACTCTTCCAAGTAGCTGGAACTACAGGCGCACACTACCATGCCTGGTTTATTTTTTGAGTTATTGTAGAGACGAGGTCTCACCAAGTTGCCCAGGCTGGTCTCGAAACCCTGGACTCAGGCAATCCTCTCACCTCAGACTCCTAAATGCTGGGATTACAGGTTTGAGCCACCGTGTCTGGCCCTATGTTCTGTTTTAATGAAATCTGCCCTTCAAAATAAGTGAAATGAGCGGTGGCTCATGGCTATAATTCCAGCACTTTGGGAGGTCGAGGTGAGAGGATTGCCTGAGCCCATGGGTTCGAGACCAGCC